CAGTTATACATGTCATAATAATAATATTAAACATCCTGTCTGCTGACAGTCATCAACTTTCTATCTAGTTATCCTTGACCATAAGCAACCTGCAGCAACTCATGAGAATGACTAAGCATTTAACAGCCTGAGCTAGACATCCTGTCTACACTAAACATTGCTAATACAGAAAGTATCTATCCAATATCTATCTGACTAAAAATACCTAACAAAGTATTAAATCAAAGTACTGGCTTCCTCCTCCTCCAAATATCTTCCACATGGTGTCATATCTTGGGGTGTGGGCTCCAGTGTACTAGAGTCTGTTCCACTAGAATAGACCCACGTGCATAATAGCAGAGGGAGGGGTGGACACGCTCCCAGCAGACAAATGCACTCCTTTTACACTGTAAAATAATCCAGAATTCCACCATAATATTTAAAATATGCTATTTACTGGTCCTTATGTCAGTGAAAGGCACAGGTAGTATGTTCTTTGCCATCAATCCAGTCCATCCATATTCCAAATGAAATACAAGCAGTGTTTAATCAAACCACAGCAAACACCAAATAATTTAGTTTTCATTATGGCAGACGTGGCATAACGTGGATATACTTTGTACATTGTCCCTATGTAGTGAATGTACGTACGTCGGTCGGTGCCGTCAGAGTTACGCACGGAGGAAAGCAGCGCTGCCATTGGAAAGTATTTTCAGGGCTGCTGGCCGCAGACGTGCCCTCCCATCCGCCTCGCACCATCCTGTCAAAGAGGTTACAGCACCCGGGATGACGCTCGCAAAAAATGTGATTTTGTACAAATACTACAGCGAGTTATGTGTTTGAGGGTTTTGCTCGGCTATCGACAAAATCTCGCAGCAGAATAAGAAACGTATGCGCCGGAGCAGCTTCGGTATTTTCAGGGTTTCTCGAGGAGGTTGCTGGACGGGACAGCGGAGCATCGACTGAGGTGCGCCCGCTAGGACAAGTTGCAGTTTGAATTTTGGGCAGCTGCCGCATCCTTTCCTCTTTTAGGGTTCCCTAAAGGCGTGCACGATACGATTGAGTCATATGGTTGTAAGTAATGTGGAAGTGTTATTGACAGGCCCGTTGTTTGTCCTTTAATAGACTAACCCCGGCGGAGGATGTGTAGGCTGTTTTCATGCGATTATTGCAGTGAATAATTCAAATGAAAGCCAAATTCTGAGATGATATAAAGCGACATATGTCAGGTGTTTTGGGGGAGTGTGGGCTCAGTGTGGTGGTAACTACTGTTGTTACATTGTCCTCACTCTTCTCTACAAGGTTCCCATTGTTCAAACCACTTCCCTGAGATGCTGCCCTGCCTGCAGAGAGTCCTGCGGCCCGCCCTCTCTCTGAGAACCGGGACTGGACTGGTCAGATCCGGACTCAGCAACCACCAAACGCCCGTATCATCTCGGTTCGCCTCAGAACCCCCTCTTGCCATGCTGGTGCAGCGGTGTGAACTGGGCACACACCCGCTGAAGGAGCCCATGGAGCCCCTCAACTCTCCCCGGGGAGCCAAGGAGTTCATTTACAGCCTTCACCCATCTGAGCGCACCTGTCTGCTGCGAGAACTGCACAGGTTCGAGTCCATAGCCATAGCGCAAGGTAGGTGGTGTTACACTGAAGCTTGTAGTGAGAAATACATTTTAAGTTGGTCAATACTTGAAAATGAAAATCTTTGCATGAGAAATTGGTTTTATTTGCTGACTTTTGTGAGGATCTAATCTACGGGTTAAAAACAAGGGATTTTTCCCCAGAGGACTGAATAGAAATCGTTTTTTTTTTCAGTATCTCAAAAATAACAGATAATAACATCGAAACTCGGTCTTGTCTTCTTTGTGACAAGATACAATACTACAAAACCACGTCTATTGCGCCACCTGGTGGTCAGTTATAGGCATTTATGTGGTCTTAATACATTTTCATTAATAACTCGTGAAGCTGTTTTTCCTCCGGATTCCTTGGAAGTTTCTGAAAGTTTCTGCCATTTGTCATTTTTTGTAAAACACTGCCTATTCTCCATACTTCATCCAATCTTCACCAAACTTGGAGCACCCTGGAAACAACGATACCACTCGTTGTGCAATATTCCTTACTGTGCTCCTGCCACTGGCCGCTGAACACAAGTGGTCTGGGTTCAGAGCTTTTAAATGCTATAACTCTTCACTACAATGTTCAGTTGCAACCTAATGTAGGTCCCCAGTACAGGAACCCTCTCTGAGCGGGCTGCTCTTACGCCATTCAGGGGCGCTACAGCCAGAGTTTATGTTTGAAACGTTATAACTCTGCAAGAAAGTAATGAATCTCAACCAAATTCACCATATTTCACCTAAACTGGGGTCTTTGTCAGCCCCTAGAATTTCATGCTCTGTCGATACTAGGGGGTGCTACAGTTAGCCAAAATATAACAAAATGTCACTTCCTGTTGCCATGAAAAGTTTGATAAGCTGCAACTCATCCGGGGATTGTTATATTTCAGCCAAATGCGGGGGAATGTGCACCTAAGGCTCCTCAAGGGGTTTGCTGAATTTCATGCACCTATGGCAAGAGGGGGCGCTACAGTGGACATCAATGCCTACCTAAATTTAAAGCTAGCTATTTTTGCCATTGTTTTGTGTAGGATCTAATCCTACACAAAAGTACCAAAATACTTTTTAAACCAACCCCTACGGGGTAAAAACCCGTAGGACACAATGACACTACACACTTCTCACCACATTGGTGCAAAGTAACTTTTTGTCTTATAGTTTTTGAATGGCAGCCAATTAAATATGATGATTTCGACTGTTTTCAGCTCCTGCTCCTCCCCTGTCATTATCAGTCACATTGCCACGGTGCCACTTAACATCAGTCTTTCCATCTCCCAATTATACAAGTGTCCTTCATCTATAAATGTTCAAAAATATCTTTCATTGTATCTAATTGGATTCGTTTTTGTTTTAAGCACCCTGTTAAGCCCCTCTGGAGATTTTTCATGTCATGTCATGTCATTTCATGATGTTCTGACGGGGTGATGTTTCTGTCACACATGTACAAATGCTATACTAGAATGTCCTGCAGGTCCTCCTGGTTCATGCGGTCTAGGAATCTCATGTCTGTGACTTTTCCTTTTGGAGTAAAATGTGCTTTATCTGGTCTCCCTGTGTGTGTCACACAGACACACACTGTCACTCCATTGCTCTGCTCTAGGACTTTTATGCATTGTGTTGTATTATGTCCTGATTCAGCCAAATCCCACATCATTCTGTACATGATATATCAACACGCTGTCATCGGGTCTTTTTTTCATCACGTGTGTGTGTTCTGCAAGTCTGACCGACAGCTTAGCAACAATAGCTTGCCGCCGGGTAGCGCAAAAGGAAGTGGTGGAGGCAGTCGGAGCTTGCACACCTAAAATTTCTTCAGAAATTTTAAATGCCCTAGTTTGTAATTGTAATTTAATAGATGTTGCATTGTAGTGACATAAGCTCCAGTTCCAACCATGGCAAAAAGACAAAGACACCAGTTTGTTGTTCAGACTGTCTTATTGTTAAATGAAGGGTTTCATTTCAGTATTTGAAGCACGGTGCAGATCTGACAGCCATCTGACACAGACCCAATAATTCAGCCAGAGACCTTTGGAGAAAAGAGGAAAAAGTTAAAGGATATAACTGTTTTTGCGAAACTTGATTTGCTGTTACAGTAATGGGTTTTTCAGTGCTACAGCGTGTACAGTATGAGCATTGAGGCATTATCTGAGATTCATGAAACATAATATTGAACTTATGAGCGTACGGTGGAGGAGCAGGACACTGGAAGGGAAGTGGGTCGATCATTACAGAGAGAAGAGGGAAGGAACTGAGGAGCGACATGAGTGTTGTTGAAGACACTTATTACCAGATGCGCCTTTCTGGGAGTAGGCGGCTCTGAGCTCCTGTCACCCTCTGTACTTCTCTCTATGGATGAATTAGAAAGACTACTTTAAAATAGATTCTCTGAATTTTGTGTAATGGATTTGTGTTTCATCCCTGCTCTCCAGCAGTTGGAAACTGAATGTAGATCAAGAATATAACTCAAGTAATTGAAAAATAAGCATATATCAAGAAACTTAATCAGTGCTCTCCTTCATTTTGTCACAGTCATCAGAGCCACTGAGCTCTGCACTTGTGGATAAAAGAAGAGTTATTGCTTTATCCCTGCAGCTCTGTGGAAAATCAGTAGTTTTCTCCTGACGGACACATGTTGTAGGACTCCCTGCATGGATGCTTCACTTCTCACCTGAAGATTTTAAGACTGAATAATCCCTCAAATTTCTGAATTTCTCTTCACCAACATTAGATGTTTGAGGTTTTTAAATATTTATTGTATGCATATTATTCCACTCAGTACTAGTCATATATTATCTTCATTAACATCTCTGTGAGTATGTTGCTTGTTGTTGTCCGTGTTGCTCAGACAATTGATGTGACTGCAGAATTTCAGGGCATAGCAACCTTCATTAAAGGTAAACATTTCTTCAAATTCAAACGCACCACACTTAAAATGTGATCGACTGTGCTACTGTATATGTGAAGGACAGTTACTTCGCTCTGCTGTCATCTATCATCTGTGGAGCCTGCCTGGCTGGAGCTTGCTGACATCCTCACCTTCATGCTATAAAAATCTTCTGGGGTTTCTCTTACCTACTACACATGCAGCTGAATCAGTGGCCGCTGGGCTCCTAGTCTCACCGTCTCGCTGACTGACAGATTCTTTTTTTTTTTTTTTCTGTTTGACAAGCTCATCAGCATCCATCATCATTCCACCCAGAGGCTGCAGGACCCCTGAAGCCAAAACCTTATCTTGTTGACGTATATACAGGCTCAGTGAATGGCGAGGAAACTGGATGTCTGCCTGTGGCTGAATCTCACTGAGATAGATGTCTTACTATGCAGTCCCCAGAGGTAGTGGAGTGGAGTGGACTGCGGTATATTCATGGTAGCCGTGGCTACAGTTTTGCTGTTAAATTGTGAAGTATAAGTAATCCCTTCCATATATCCTCATATATGATATGGAAGGGGTGATGCATTGTTAATCTGAGATTTATACAGGTTTAAGCTTGTAGACAGAAAGGTGAATGTGCTGTTGGTGAATCAGAAAGCTTTGTCAATAAAAAGCTTTTCTCTTGGCCTTCTTTGGAAGTGGTGCACCTTAATCCTCAACGTGACGTTAGGCGCTTCAGCTTCAGTGTCAAACTGCTGTTTCTAGTTGTGTTCATTTGTCTTTTTGTGGTTGTTGAAGCTACTCTTGTCAATTTTAATTTCAAGTCACCAACAGTTTTTGGAAGCAGGCTGCAAAACATTGCTGTCTAAATGATTTGGTGAGAGCTGTTGCTAAACCCGTCTAAAAGCAAGGCAAACTGCAATATGACCAGCTGTTGCCAGTAGATGAATCACTGATTTAAAAGGTTGAAAGCATTACACCTTTATTTTCCAGACAAATGTCCACTAAACCTTTCAGAGGCACAGGGTAACAACGAAGATATTCTCAAGGACTAGACATTTGAGTGGAGAGAAGAAGAGAGGTTAGGGGAGAGCAATTTATTGAAGGTCCTCCACAGAAACATTCATCTTTCAGACAGGAATTTAGGGTCAGTTTCACAGGTTCAGAGACTTCTTATACTAGAAACACACGATTATCAGAGAAGTAAGAGAGGAGAAGGCAAAGTCTGAAGAAAGCAAATACAGCAGGTATGAAGACAGATGGGGATGCAGACACTGAGCGGATGGAGGCAGAGAGCTTTAGAGTGGAGGAGTAAACAGTCGGGAGTGAAGTCAAAACAATAAGGAAGCTGGACTGTAATGACCAAGGCTGGTGCAATGTCACTCAGACTTATTGACAAGGATATTCAATACCAGTTTTATCAATCTAGAACAACTGGGTCAGTGGTGTTATTTTGACTCAAACCAGAATTGGCTCAATATCAGCAAAACTGAATTAATAGTCATGGAATAATTTGGGTTTTCCTTTTTTATGTCACCTATTTTTATGGCAGCCTTCATGAACACAAGCGTTTAGAAAATGGGGATGTGTTGCATATGTTGTTTTAATATTAGTGGCACAATTAGCGCATTTGCCACTGTACAGTCTAAACACGTTCAATCTGTATTACCAGCGGAATATGCTGATCTATACACATTCATTCTGAGTCATGCTCGGGTTTGTATAGCAGTAGGTAAAAGCACAGAGAAGGGAAGCAATGTTTAGATGGAGAGAAGGAGAACATGAGTAAATAAATGACCAGAGATTTTTTTTCTTCCATCTGGGACGTCTGTGTTCTTTAGAGTTCAGTTACTGAGTGTTACTCAGTGATATCCACTACTAACATGGTTTTCTAACAAGCCTGGTAGTGAAAAGGGAAATGTGAGATGAGTGAGAAGAGATCGAGGCAGTTTCTCGCCATGGGTCAGAGGATGGAGGAGTACTGTAGAGCGAGAGACAGCTGGGGATGCAAGAAGAGGAGAGCGAGCCATGACAGGAAGGGAGACGCTTGACTTCATTATGACTTGTTTTTTCTTTTACCTCAGTGACCCTTGAGGCTGCAGTACAAATTCTTAGGGACATCAACAAACAAGTCACACTTCCTC